CCTCGATGCGCACCCGGGATCCGAACCCGGGCCACCAGCATCGCAGCGCGTGCACTTAACCACCAAGCCACAGGGCCGGCCCAGGAGTACAGGTTTCACATGGGGAGGAACGGGATTATAGCTGCCAGAGTGAGAGTTTGATTTCTTTATACAATCACAGAGCATGTACCATGTACCAGGGGCTTTTCTAGACGTTATCACTAATCCTCACACTATCCCTGTGATACTTCCCAGGTGTTATTTTACAGACAAGAAAACTGAGGCTTAGAGAGTTAAGGTAACATGTCCAAGTCAATACAGTTAGTAAGTGGGGAAGCTGGAATTCAAACCCAGGTTGGCCTGACTCTGAAGCCTGAAGTGTCTTTTCTATTACTCCATGCTGCCTCCTAAGGGGTCAGAGAACTTCCCACCTTATTAGACTGATGCTGTTGCCTGGACCTCCTCCCAGCTCTCACGTGGGGACTGCCGGACAGAGGGCAAGAGCAGCAGCCCCCTCTAGCTCTAACCCTCTAAGATCTAGGGACCTTAAATCCCCGTACACTAAGCAATTTCAAGGACAAGAGTTCTGTGTGGCCCTCACAAGCACAGGCTGGCCTGTGCGTCTAGGCCTGCCCTGGAACTCACAGAGAGCGCCACCCTCTAAGTTGCTACAGCAAAGCCTGTTGCAAATATAAGCTAAGAAAGCTGGATGGTCACAAAGGCAGGCCCTCCTGCTTTCCCTGAAACCCTCTGGAGAAGGTCAGCTGAGGTCAGAAGACTTTGGAAACGTTACTGGCAACAGCCCCTAGGACAAGGGGGCAGGATCCTGCCTCTTGGTTGGCTGGTCACACACACAGGCAGACCAAGAGAGGTCAAGGGGGGAGGGAGGTCAGAAGCTGGCAGGCCTGCAGGCCCTGAGTGACGGCTACTTGTTCAGGTTGGGAAGGGAAAAATAAGTGGGTTAATGATTTTGGCCCTTGAGGCTGGGAGGCTAGGGCAGGGCGTGTAAATGGATGCTGGGTAAAAAGGCAGGTGGACCAACTGTAAAGGTGGGGGCTAAGGGCATCTGTTTCCAGTCAACAGGCAGGAACCATGCCCCTGGAACGGCTCAAAGGGCCAGCCCTGGCCTGGGGGGTGAGGCTGGGGGGCACTTCATAAAAGGTCCATGCCTCTTCATTTCAAAGGTGTTCGATCTGGAAGGCTGGGGAGAGGGTCTCTTTTTAGAGTGAATTCTCTGTCTGTTTGGGGGCTGAGGGGAAGCACCGGACAATGGCTGGGGGTAGTGATTGATTTTAAGGCATGGCAGAGAGAAGCCCTGTGGTGAATGCTCCAATTCTCAGCTACAAACATCTTGCTGGAGAGCTTTCCAAAGGACAAAGTGAGTAGCATCCTGCTTGGGGACGTTTTCTAAGTCAGTAAGTTTTTGTTCTGAAAGCATCAGTCATCCCAGGCACTGTTACCAAATGCCCCTCAGAGTGTATGTGACCCAGGCCAAGGCACACTCTGGCTGCTGTGGGGCAGGTCCCTTGTAGGCTGGGGGTATGGGCCAGGCCTGGGTCTTAAGCCAGCGTGGCTGTGGCTGATGGAAGGTGGCAGGATTTGGGGGTTACTGGGAAATCCCTCCATCCCAATCACAAGACAAGGACTAGAAGATGATCTGGGGATATTGGGCTGGGGAGGCCAAGGCTCTGGAACTGAAAGAACTGTCTTTGAAGACTGGATTTTTAAAAAGTGATTGAGCTGCAGAGGACAGTTGGCAGAAGTTACAGAGAAGAAAATCACAGCTCATTTAAAAGAAGATATTTCAACCAGTCAGAGAAGAACTAAAATGGAATGGACTTCTAAGGAAGAAGTAGGGTTCCCTTAGTCCCCAACAGAATCCAAGGAAATGCCAGCCAGCCAGCTGTTGGAGAGGTTTCTGCCAGGAGGAGAGGGGGCAGGCAATCAGGGGGACCCAGAGGACCTCTGACAACCCTTGCAGCTCCCAGGTTCTATGAAGAACAACCCCTGAGAAGAAGCACCAGCCCCAAGAGGGTCACTAGCCCCTCGAGAAGTGGCAGCAAGGGCACAAACAGGCAGTCATGTGTCATACTCACTCAGGGGCCTGGGCACCACACATCCTGGCAGGAAGCTTCCCTCCCATTCCCAAGGAGAGGCTGGAGTAGGATAAGTGGCTGTGGGAGGGAAAGTGATTTGGGAGTTATCTGGCAGGGTGGTGGGTAACTCTGCACCAGACCTGGACAGGATCAGACCAGCCTGAGAGTGGGGATGGCACAACTATCCCTCCAATTAACTCTCCAAAGGGAAATTACTCAATCATTCAACAAAGACTGACTGAGTGTTTACTGTGTGCTGGGTACTATGCTAGGTGCTGGGGAGGAGTCAGCCATGGTTCTTGCCTTCAGGGAGCTGAGTCAAGTTAGGGAGAAGGCTACTGAACACATAAAAACAATTTCAGATTGTGACAAATGCAATGACAGAAAAGAATAGGGTGCCATGACCAAGAGTAATGGAAGGGGCCTAATCTAGACTGGGGATAGGAGTGGGATCAAGGGGGATGTCTTTGAGACCTGGGTTAGTAGAGATCTGAAGGGCCTCCCCCTTGTTCCACTAGCCCTGCTCTGGAGGTCACAGGGGAGAAGAGAAGACACTTTTGGGGAGAGCAATAATAAAGAAACTTCTCAGAGCATGTTCAGACAGGCAGGATGGCATGGTGCATCACACACATGCAGGCAAACAATACACTTCAGCCACACAAGGTCAAATCACACATGCACACTGCCACTCTTGTGAAACGCAGGCACTCCCAGCTCTGGGAGGTAACAGGGCTCTGGGGAAGCACGGCATTTCCAGAGTGGAGAGGTTGCCAAGTACTCTCTCCTGCCAATCCCCCACCCCATTCACCCATGCTCTCACCTCCATCAAGCAGCTCCTTGACGGTGCGGTAGTCATCGGCAAGGACAGCGTAGTGCAGGGCTGTGCAGCCCTTGAAGCTGGCGCGGTTGTTCAGCCGGTTGTTGAAGTCATCCTCTCGGGTGATTAGGACTGGGGGGACAGCACAAACCCTTCCATTAGCAACAAATGCTGTAAGCCACCAATCTCACCTTCTTTCTCTCTCAGGGCATTTTAATTGTTTTTTAATTAATTTATTTTTTTCCCCCAAAGCCCCAGTAGATAGTTGTATGTCATAGTTGCACAGCCTTCTAGTTGCTGTATGTGGGACTCGGCCTCAGCATGGCCGGAGAAGTGGTGCGTCGGTGCGCGCCTGGGATCCGAACCCGGGCCGCCAGCAGCGGAGTGCGCGCACTCAACCGCTAAGCCAGGGGGCCGGCCCTCTCAGGGCATTTTAATTCCCTCCTTCACTCATCTATCTACTTGCTAAACATACAATGGCACCTACTATGTGCCTGGCCATCTGTGCTGGGTAAGAGGAGGTAAAACAGAGGCCAGTTGGTTCCATAAATGTATACTGACATCTATTATGTGTTAGGATTCATTTGGGGACATAGAAATGAATCAGACATGGTCCCTGACCTAATCTGACGAAGGAGGCAGACAATAAACAGATGTTTATGGTACTGTTTGAGATAAATACTATGTTAGAGGTATAACAGGATGATACCGAAAGCCAGAGGGGAGCTTAGCTCAATTTGGGCATGAAGAGAGGACCTTAGCAGCCGAGAGTCTCCCAGGGTGAAGAGGAGTCATCCAGGTGAAGAAAGAAGGCTGGGCTAGACATGGGGAGTGGGGCGGGAGACAGAGGCTGATCTTAGCAGAACAGTAACGCACCTCTCTGCTCTGAAGATGTCTACAATCTAGTGAGTATTTAATATTATTTTGTAAAGAACTTTTTACCTTATAAAAGCCATTAAAATTTTGAAACTACAGAAAAGTACGAAGAGGAAAAGGCATCAATATCTCAGCAACTTGAGAAACCACATTCAATATTTTGGTATATGTCCTTCTAGACATATATATATATATGTATCCTACATATATGTCTATGTATATATCTCTACATATATATGCATATGCATATATATTCTACAAAATTGGAATTTACTATCTTGCAACTTTGTACTGCTATTTTTTACCCTTAATAAATGTAATGTGAACATTGTTTTGAAGGGAAGAAAAACAAGCATTTCATGTGGTCAAAGAATCAAAAACCCCAGGCTCACTCTAGTGCTAATATTTGTGACGCTCTCTTTCCAATTTAGGTTCCAAAAGAAGCTAAAGCCAGTTCCATCACTTTTATAAGACCCTCTGGGTTGGGTGACCACACACGTCCCTGTTCACCTGGGATGGCCCCGGTTTATGCCTGTTGTCCTGGACACGCCCAGTTTGGACAATAAATTGGAAGGTTATCTTACCTCTGGAGCCCTCCCTTGGGAACTGAGACCCCACAGAACAATAACTATCCCCCTAAGGTGATGGGGTTTCCTTCTGCCTATGCAGAAACGGAGTAACTGTCTTATGTTCCCTCCTGAGCTCAGTTCGTTGGGGGTGGAATTTGGGTCCTACCTACCTGTACCCACCTCTCCTCTAGCCCATGGCACAGGGCAAGCAAAGGGTAGGCTCCTCTTTATCTAGTGGGAGCACTGGATAAAGGGGTATAATTCAGTCAAGAGGTAACCTTGCCTACATAGTCAAAAGCACCAACAGTTCCTAAACCATTCTTTTCCAAATGGTCTTGGAATGGAGTCTCTGCATTTTCCTCTCCTGCAAAAGTAGACTTCCTATTTAAAAGTTCCAAAAGCCAGAAGGCTGTCATGCCTCTCCCTAACTAATAGATTTCACTTACTGACCTTCTTCTACTCTGTGCCTGGCATGGTCACTTCACATAATTAATCTATTTAATTCTCATAACTACCTTATATAGTAGGTGTTATTATTCCCATTTCATAGATGAGGAAACTGAGGCACAGAAGACACACAGCTAATAAGTGGCTGAGCGAGGATTAGAACCCAGGTCTAATCTGAGTCCTCACTCTTTCTTTCCATCATATTATGCTGTCACCCTTATTTTGCAAATGAGGGACTCAGAGCCCAATGCCCAGAGGTTCTGGTCCCTGCCTTGGCTCCCACTCCCTCTTCTTTCCCTGCTCAGGTGAAGGTGCAAACATACTTCCCGTGGAACTTGCCCTAATAGAGAACGGCCTGAGGTTTGTAGCTAGACCTGGATAAGCTAGCTTGGGTGGAAGCATTTGAAATGTTTGGCCAAAATGAAGTTGGTGGAGTGTGTACCTGGAGAAAGGAACACACTTTCTTGCGGTATGTGGAATCAAGGGTCCATCAGCTCTTCTGTACCAGACAGGGGCTCTCCAAACTAATGAGTGCCCCTCTCCTGACCAGAGTGTTATCTGACCTTTGCCAGAGCAGGGAGAACAGGAAGAAGGCTTCTGAGTAGCTAACAAAATAAGTCCCATGTGCAACAGCAGCTGCATTTTCCCCATAAGAGAGTCCTTTAGGACCTAACTCAGAGATTACTAACTCTTAGTTGCACAGTCTTATCAAATCATGGTAGGTGATCTTGTTTCCAGCCCACTGAAGATTAGAAGAAGGAAACAAGAAGGCTGGGGAGGAAGCTTCAGAATCAAGCAGATTGATTACAGTCAAGTGCTGGCCAGACAGGGAGGGAAAAGATCAGTACAATAAAAAGCTAAAAGGGAATTCATGGAATATAGCACCTCAAAAGCCCCTGAGGGCATCACTGAATTGCCACATAGGACATTAACTGCTGGATATAATGATGAACTTGAGGAAAAGTGATAGTTGGCTCAAGAAAGCAGGACGGGTATAATCCATTTTACAAAGAAAACACATCATTCATTCAACAAACAACATTTAATGAGCACCAATGCATGGTGGTAGCTGCTGGAGATATACTAATGAATAAGACAGCTCTTCACTTTAAGAAGTTAACAGTCTAATGCAAGAATCAGATCACTGAACAAATTATAATACCGTTTCACAAGTGCAATGATAGAGCTATACACAGGGTGCTTACTATCAAAAGCAGATGAACTCAAGGAACACCACTGGGGCTCAGGGAAAAACATCAGCAGAGTGCCAGCTAATAGAGAGTGCCAGGACTGTCCATGAGGAGGGGCCCTGCTCACCTAGGTCTCATCTCTCACCATCCCCCCTCCTACTCCTCTTTCTTGCCTGGGAGGTTTTTAAAATACTATTCCACTGCCTGGAACATTTTCCCCTCTCCCATGCCTTCAGTTGGCTAACTCCAATTCATTTGTAGGCCTCTGATTAGAAGTCCCTTCCTCCAGCGACTCTTCCTAAGTTTGAGGTAATTACTGCTCCTAGGAGCTCCCCAGCACCTTAGGCATCTCCCAGTTACAGGACTTATTACAGTGTATTGCAATCGCCAACTTACTTGACTATGTTCCCCACTAACCAAAAGCTCAAGGAGGACAGGAAGTATGACCGTCTTCTCCACAGCTGTATCCCCAGCGCCCAGTGTGGTGCCTGGCCATAAATATGTGCTTCACAAATACTTGTTGAATCAGCAAATAAATACATAATATATAAATAAATATATAATACATAAAGAAGGTCCTAATATTACTTTGTTTTTGGAATAATAATAATAATAATGCCAGTCAACAAATATTTAGTGGAGGCAGTAGAGTGTAGCTGATAAATGAGTGAGCTCTGGAGCCAGACCACATGTATTTGGATCCCAGTTCTGACTTGAATGACTGTGTCATCTTGGGTAACTTACGCCAAGTTTCTTTATCTGTAAATGGAGATGATAACAGTAACCTCTCATGGGATCTTGTAAGGACTAAATGAGACACTATGAGTGAAGGGGCTTGGAACAGGGCCTGGCATACAGGACCTCTCAGTACATGTCAGCTACCATCTTTATTGTATAGTTTGTACTTCCAAAAGTGTATTCTCTCTGTGACAAGAGGTTCTACTTGGGGAATCCTGCATATACTTTTCCCCTCCGAAAGGCACAGTTCTGAGTAAGAACCAGCTGTTTAATTTGGCATTACTCAGCAGTTTCTTGTCTGACAGCCTCTTTCCACCTAACCCTTGTTAAAATCCCACAGTATTGGTGTTCCACAGAATACTCTTTGGAACTGAGCAGTGCATTACAATCTATAAAGCACTTTCATTTACTTATGTATTTCAGAATAACCCTGTGAGGTATAAGCTGGCACTCCCCATTTTGTAGATGAGGAAATCGAAGCTCAGAGGGTGCCACAATCAGTCAGCAGTGGAGCGAGGCCCTAGTCCAGCTCAGCTAGGCCCATTGTGTGCTCTTAGCAGTAAGCTATCTTCCCCACACCACCCAGTTTTAGAAACCCTGTCCCAGAAGATCGTGCTGAAGCCCCCAGATCATTAGATCTCATACTCTTCTCTATCCAAAGGAAGTGGCTCAAGGTGGAAAGGAGGTGGGGGAGAGGTACAGCATGCACCCTCACGCACTGACCCACTCTCACTGAGGAAAGGTAAGCAAATCCATGGAAGCGGAAGTGACTCATCCAAGACTGGCTCACCAGCTGGCCACCAGGGTGGTCTTTTGAGGCCCCATGTTTACAGCTGGTCCTCAGCCAGTGAACCATCCCCTTCCCAACAAAGACATCTACCAGCCTGTCTCCAGCACAGGGGGAGACAGGCTCAGGCTCCTGCTTCCCCTCCAGGCCAGCCATTCCTGTCTCCTCACCTCTCGGACCACAGGGAGAATGACAAAGCACCACTCTGTCATCCTGCTCCCACTTCTGCCTTTTGATGTTGCAAAGTCTAAGCCAGGGTGCCGTGGCCAGGGTCAGTCTGGGTGCTGCAGCAGGTATGTGCTGGATGTATACTCTGCAGGATTCCCTGAACTGAGCGTGCCAAAGAGTCAGCAGAGGCAAAAGTAGTCCCTGAAGCCCTTCATGTAGCCCTGGCCACTCCCCAGCACTGCTGAAACTGCAAAAAAATACTGCCTCCCATGATGAGAAACAGTGATTTCAGGTAAAGGAGTCCTACAGTCCCGAATCTTAGCTATGCCACTTACTAAGTTCTTCTACCTGTAAAAT